TTAACCTAAATTCTCAAATCACAAATCAAAACTCATGAATGATAAATTATAACTCATAAGTCATAACTCATACAACATAAATTATTTATCATAAATCACAAATTTATAAATTACAATTCTCGTTTCTTTGTCACAGAACAACTAAAAACAAAAAACAAAAACAAGATTCGAGAAGTAAAAGGGCGTTCAGTCGCTCACCAATCAAAGCAGCAGGACATGAGGAGGAGAGGTAGAGAAATGAAGACACCGGTCGACAGCCGCAACACTGCAGCTTCTCCTCGTCTCTGGCACTCTCAGAGACTCACGCTCACCTCTTCAGTTTGCACTTGCTGCTAGAGCGGGCTGAGGAAAATTAGAAATGGATATATCATATTTATATACGTTGTACATATATTATATATATCCATCATCCATGGATTTCTGGCCTTTGCTTTGGCCTTTGGGTATATATATATATATATTTTTTAAAGCCAAGCCTACAACAATGGCTAAACTAAAAAAAAAAAAAAAAGGCCCAAACCCAAAACCTGAGATCATCTTCGTCTTCGCTAGTTCGCCCTTCAGCTTCTGATTTCCATTCTGCAACTGCCAGCTGGGCGGCGCTCGGTGGTTTGAAGGCTCTGCAGATCCAGCACGGGTGGCCACGGAAGCTCGCCAGGTACTGAGTCCGCCTCGGACAATGACCTACTGGTTGAACTATTGACCCATTGGTTGAATCGTGGACCCTATGATTTTTTCGGGTCGACAATGGGTTCGAGTCTGATAATTATGATATTAACCCATGTTCGAGCCTTGTTATTTAAAATTCATTTTTAACAATATTCTCTCAATAAAATGATTTTGTTTGTAAACTCAATTTTTTTTTTCCTATTTTTTAACTAACAATCTTCAAAAAAGCACATTTTACATAATCTATTATAAAGATAAAATGGGGGGTGGGGGTGGTCTTAATGCGAATTGTGTATATTTCATCTATGGTCACTAACTTTAAGTGAAATATCAATTTGGTCACTACAATTTACTTTGTTTTAATTAAATCACTTGCCACATTAATTTAGTTTTTCATTTTGCTACTTTGTCACATTCCACTAGTAATTGTCCTACTCAAAACTTACGAAAATTGCTTAACTAATAGTTATTCCTTAAAATTTTCAAGTAGTCATCCTAAAAACTGAAATATTAAATGAGGGCTATTGCAGATTAACAATGTCTTTTAAATTAAAATGTTAAAAAACATTTATTATTATTATTATACGACATGGCATGGTGATAAGTTGGAATGCAATATAACTATTATGTAGAAGATTCGATACAAATGTCAATTAAGCCTCTGTTTCGTATTTTTAATTAACTTTAATTTATTTCTCATACTTATTTTCAACTACACAATAAAATATTTTATACATAAATTCAAAATTTTTTCATACTTTTTAACCACACATTTTTCAAAAAATACCATTCAAAACCAGGTTTTTTTTTTTTAAATTTAAAGGCCATCAAAAAGGTCCTAAATAATTTTCACTAATTTAGGAGAGAATTGATGAGGGTGAAGAATGAGATTAAGCCTTGTTTGGTAGAAATTAAAATATTGATTTTTATCTAACTTAAAATCAATAATTAATCTTAGGGTTTATTTGAGCCACATTATTTTGGAAGACTGTATTTTTGAATAGTAGATTAATGGAGAATGTATGGTTAAAAAAGAAGAAAAAAATTATTAATGTGATGGAAAATATTATTTTATTGAAGAATGTGTGATTGAAAATAAATAGAATAATGAAAATGAAAATTTTTGTGTGACTCAAACAGGGGCTTAATCACATATTTTACAGGTCTCGTAATTTTCCAACCATACATTTAATCAAATTTTATTAAAATTTACTAAAAATTTGATTTTAATTCCCATTATGGGCTAAATTGAGGTCGGCTATTCGAATTTAAAACGATAATGAAATTAATAATAATATTATTATTAGAATGTGGATTTGTATCTACTTGAAATTAATTGAATAAAATCCTATGCCGAATGAAAGCAAGAAACGGTGCTGCATTTAAAAGCCAACGCATACACGTACGTGGCATCATTCCTGCACCCCTTCACCCAAGTGTCACCTCATTTTTGACTAATATAAGCATGTTCATGCACTCACATTTCTCCACCTACATGTAACCTTCTATATATATTTTCACCTTTTCTTCATTTACCAGAGATTTCAGTTCATTGCATAATGTTTTTCTCTTGCTAATAATTACATATATCAGCATATAGATACAGGGTTTTTGCTGATTTTGATTGAGCAAGAAAGAACCAGATCGATCAAACCATGCCTCGCGGGTATACTTTTGGTAGGGCTGAAGAAGCCACTCACCCCGACTCTGCCAGGGCCACCTTGGCTGAGTTCCTCTCCACACTCGTCTTTGTTTTCGCCGGCGAAGGCTCCGTCCTTGCTCTTGGTACCTTAACTTTTCCGTGAAGTTTTTAAAATAAGAAAAATTAGGTGCACATGGACGTCACGACTAATATATATTCTCGATTTGTATCGATTTGCAGCTAAGATGTATAAGGATACTACTTTAGGAGCATCAAGCCTGGTGGTCATCGCTCTAGCCCACGCTCTGTCACTGTTTGCAGCAGTGGCTTCAAGTATGAACGTCTCGGGCGGGCACGTCAATCCTGCCGTCACTTTTGGCGCACTTGTGGGCGGGAGAGTCTCGGTGCTGCGTGCTATTTACTACTGGATTGCTCAACTTTTGGGTTCAGTTTTAGCTGCTATCTTGTTGAGGCTAGCAACTGATGGCTTGGTAAAAAGAAAAAGAAAAACCCACCCACCCACCTTAATTAATTACTTGCATGTCTTAACACATGTTTTGGTGTGTCTATAAGTGCTTATAAGCACTTGGGCTTTCTACTTTTTTTTGTGGTTTCTATTCTATTTTATCTATCTACTTTTTTAAAAAGCAGCTCTTGGTTGCAGAGGCCCCGAGGATTTTCCGTTGCAGATGGAGTAGGAGAATGGAACGCGTTGCTGATGGAGATAGTGTTGACATTTGGACTGGTATATACTGTGTACGCGACTGCAATCGATCCAAAGAGAGGAAGCTTGGGCACCATTGCTCCTCTTGCCATTGCCTTCATAGTTGGGGCTAATGTGCTGGTCGGGGGGCCTTTCTCAGGAGCATCGATGAACCCTGCTCGTGCTTTCGGGCCAGCCCTGGTGGGATGGAGGTGGAGAAACCACTGGGTCTACTGGTTGGGACCATTCATTGGTGCGGCCTTGGCGGGAGTTATATACGAGTTTGGAGTGATACAAGCCGATACCCCACACCACACACATCACCAGCCTTTGACTCCAGAAGATTACTAGTTTTACTTATTGTTTTGAATAAGAGAATCTGCATGTTCGTGTTTAAATCGTTTTTGTGTCTCTGATTTGGTGTTCTTTGTAAGTTGTCAAACATTATGCTTTGTGCTCATATAATTCTGCTGTTAGGAATGAAATGAATAATATTTGAATCCAATCATACCCAAACTTGAAAAATTGACTATAGGAAGTTCTTATTTTCTTTCTATTGTTAATCTTCGTAATTTTCTTTCAATCTCAAATTCCCAAGTAATGAAGTATTGTTTTCACGAGAATTGTGGGTTTGTGAAGTTTCTGATGTTGATATATAATGTGCACAAAATGTGCACAGAGTGATAAAATCAAGGAGGGAAGTTGAAATTTAATCTGGAAATAAAACAGACAGAAATAAAGGAGGATAGGCCTGCTGTAAATGCAGAGAAGATGATGAAGTTTTCATTCATTCATGCTTAAGAAATTAAAATGTAAACTAATCTATTTATAGAGAAAACATAACCAATTACCTAACAAATCTAACAATCTAACTAACAAAGGAAGGAACTAGAATATGCTAGAATGAAGCTGGAAGAAGGAGCTGAATTTTGGTGAACTGTGAACGTGCTGGTGAACTGATTGGATTGCTGGTTTGCTGAATTGTTAATTGGAGAGTTGCTGGTGGTTTGCTGATTGTATGGTTGGTTAATATTCCAACACTCCCCCCTCAAGATGGAACATCTTGAACCGTAGAGAAGGAGAGTAGAGATGCAATCAAGGAGCATCTTGTTTCAAATCATCTTAAAAAATCTCCATCCTTCCTTCTCTCTTGAGAAGGAAAATCTTCAAAAAACTTTCTTCAAAATCTTCATATCTTTAATCTGAAGATAAAATCAATCATGAAGATCTGAGAATCCTACCATTCTAGCAGGTTCAATCTTCAATTTCCGGTTTCAATTCCCTATCTGGGAATTTTCAGTCATTCCGACATTTTGTCGAACATCTAGTGAGCAAAGCCACTAATCTTCAATTTTCGGTTTCAATTCCCTTTCTCTGAATAAATCATTCATTTGTAAAGATCTGATCTATCTTCAATTTCATTCCAGTTTTGTTTTGATTCCCTATCTGGGAATAAATCACATTCACTCTTGTGAAAATCTGAGAAGCCTGCCATTCACGGGAAGTTCTATCTTCAGTTTCAGTTTTGTTTCGTTTTGCTTCGTTTTCGTTTCAGTTTCATTTTCGTCTTCAGTTCTGAGAACACCTCTTGCAGCTCTTGATAATCTGGGAAATACCTGACTGCAGATCATGAAATTTTGTATCTATTATTGATTGCAACTCCTGGAAGCCAGAGAATATCTGCAATCTATTCTCTGATTTTCTCTGGTTTGTTTCCTTGGTTTGTTTCCTTTCATCGAGAATCTGACTGAGAATTTTCAGTCATTGATGGAGATGATTTTCAGTGATTTGGTATACTTCTCGCCCTTGCAATTGTGACTGAAGCTTTTTCAATTGACAGAAACAGATTCGAGAATCAGAAACCTGTTCTGAAGTTTTCATCATCAGCACCAAAAAAACTGAAGTTGTGTTGCTGTTTTTTTTTTTTTGATAGATTCAAGATCAAAAACCTGCTCTGATACCATGATAAAATCAAGGAGGGAAGCTGAAATTTAATCTGGAAATAAAACAGACAGAAATAAAGGAGGATAGGCTTGCTGTAAATGCAGGGAAGATGATGAAGTTTTCATTCATTCATGCTTAAGAAATTAAAATGTAAACTAATCTATTTATAGAGAAAACACTAACCAATTACCTAACAAATCTAACAATCTAACTAACAAAGGAAGGAACTAGAATATGCTAGAATGAAGCTGGAAGAAGGAGCTGAATTTTGGTGAACTGTGAACGTGCTGGTGAACTGATTGGATTGCTGGTTTGCTGAATTGTTAACTGGAGAGTTGCTGGTGGTTTGCTGATTGTATGGTTGGTTAATATTCCAACACAGAGAGGTATGAAAATGAAAGTATAGACTGAAAAAATCAACAAAAGAAGATCAATGGGAAGATGAAAAGGAATGTCCGAACAAGTAATCGTTGTCCTCAAACTATATTTGACCCCTATCGAATTGAAATGATGCTTAAAGAGATTATGGAAAGAGGTTTGCAAAATTAATCAAGCCTTGTAAGGATTTAACACTTAATCACCTGTGAAAATCCTCCAAAACCACAAAAAGGGAAATTTTTTGAATATGTATGAAGGAATTTTTGATTTCAATGATGTGTGGAATAAAAATGTTGATATTCATTATTTTGCTTTTGAACATTGATCGTCTATATATAGGCTTCGATAGTCTTTTACGAAATGGTGCCAAAATCAAATCAAAGGTCACCAAAATTCAAACATCAACGACCACAAACGGTTATATTTTTTCTCTATGCGGTCGCATAGGTCACATGGCCTTCAGTCTCGGTATGTGGCTATGCGACCGCATGCCATATTGAACTATGCAGTCGCATAGTTCATCATTTTGGCCTCAAAATCCATTTTTTTATTCCACAACCAATTTTAGTAATTTTTGAACAATATTTTCAACCATCGCCTACTTGTTCAAAATTTTAATAGAATCCCATATTAAAAAATGTACAATACTTATACACAAGAATTAAATATCTTTCGATTTGAATCTAATCATAGTGTAATTCAAAAAATGTAAAGTCGAAATTAAAGGTAGCATGAAAATTTTGAACCAATTATTCCATATGACAATACCGGTAAGAACACGCACACAAAAGTATTACTTGTTCTCAAGTTCATCAATCCACTTAGCGCTAATATGGCATTGTGCTCATCATTTTCAATAAATTTTTAAGAGAGAAACTCTAAATCTCTATTGAGGCGGCACCACTTCGAAGTTCATTTAGGTGAATTCTTCCAGTATCTTTGTTACTTTTAGAGATATTTGTACTTAGTACTGAATTTCATTAAGAGTTTTAAAACTCACCCCTCATTTCAGTAACAACCAGCGTTATTTAATTAGAATATGGTTATTGCAGATTATATAATACCAAAGCTATCCATATATCGAATGACTTGTTATTATCCTTTGAACCCGTGTATTACTTGATAAGTAATGACATGTAGGGTTGTTATCATTGATGAACCTTTAGTTCAAGAGTTTCAACCCCATTCTACTCGGAGGAGACATTATCAAATCTCCATTTAGAGGTTTATTTAAATGATCCGCTAAATTTTCAATTGACTTAACATAATTTAGGGAAATTATTCCATCATTGATTAATTTATTTATGTAGTCATATCTAAAACTCATATGCTAGAATTTCCGTTGTATACATCATTGTATGCTTTTGCTAACGTAGCTTGACTATCGCACATGATAGATATTGATGATATAACTTTGGTCTCAAAGGTATCTCATAGAGTAGATCTTTAAGCCACTCAACTTCTTTCCCGATTTCTGATAGTGCTACATGTTTGTTTCTTTGATTTCTAAGAAACAGCTCATCCTCCAAGATCAAACTAGCATTTGTAAATCTTTCCAATACAGTGGGGAATTTAGTGTATTGTGGATCTAAGTTCTTGGTTTTCTTTAAATATCCAAGAACTCTTCAAATAGTCATTGCTCGGATTACTAGTAAACCTACTAAACTTACTAATTACAAATGCCATGTCTGGTTTTGTGCATTGAACTGCATACATTAGATTCTATAACGATTGCGTACTCCAATTGAGCAACTGCCCTTCCATTATTCTTTATTAGTTTTGAACTTGGATCAAAATGGGTACATATTCTTTTATGTCCAAGTGTTTGAACTTATTTATCACATTCTCTATATAATGTGATTGATTTAAATGATAACTCCCACTAATTTTAGTAATTTTGATACCCAAAATGGTATCCACTTTTTCAAGATCCTTTATCTTGAATGTGGAAAATAGAAATCTCTTCGTTTCTTTTATTCCATCCTTCATGTGATTACTCAAAATCAACGTGTCATCAACATATAAGTAAATAAATATAACATAATCATCACATACTTTAGAATAGAAACATTTATTTACGCTATTATGTTTAAAACCAAATGAAATGATGGTTAAATCGAATATTTCATGCCATTACTTAGGAGCTTGATTTAAATCGTATAATGACTTTACTAATTTGCACACATTATGTTCATTTTCGGGTAGAGCAAAACCCTTCAAGTTGTTCCATATTAACCTCCTCATCGAGATCCGTGTTCAAGAATGCCGTCTTAACATCCATTTGATGAACATGTAAGTCACGTATAGAAATTAATGCGAATAATATCCTAATTGATGTTAGTCTAGCAACAGGTTCACAAGTATCAAAATAGTCCATTCCTTCCTTTTCTCGGCAACTTTTTGCTACTAGTTTAGCTATAAAAGTATTAAGAGAACCATCAACATTATACTTTCTCCTAAACACTCATTTACATCCAATAGGTTTGGATCCAGGTGGTAAATCTACAATTTTTCATGTATTGTTTGACATAATTGAATCCATTTCATCCTTAATTGCATCTTTTCAAAAAATGCTATCTCGAGAACTCATAGCTTCTCTATAAGTTTTAGGATCGATTTCCACTTGTAGAACAAAATGAATTGTTCTTACAACATTCTTATCATTTCCTTCTACTAAATAGAACGAAATAAGTTGAGAGTCAATTCATTCGATTCTAAAGACTTCTCAATTCGAGTTCTTTTGCTCCTTTGAGATTCATTAGATTTATTAACATCTTTAGAAGATGTTTCATTTTGTGTTCAACTAGAGATTTTGATTTCTTTATTAATTTTCCTTAATTCATTATCCGAAGATAGTGAATTCTCAAAAAACTCTACGTCACTGGATTCAATAATCACATTGGACTCCAAATTCAACAATCTATATGATTTGCTATTACTAGCATATCCAACAAAGACACATTTGATGCCTCTTGGACCTAACTTGGTCCTATTAGGGTTCGTATTCTTACAATAAGCAAGATACCGCC